AGGTGTGCCCCTTATGCACGTACAGCGAATCAAAACGCATCAGCGAGCTTTTCTGTCAACTCTTAAAAAATGCTAAATGCCTCATCACTATAGTCCTACCCGATTCCCTATCGCCAAGTATCTGCTTGGACTCAGAAGTATTTAATTGATAATACGAAGACTCGCCCTCGTTCAGGGATATGTGGCAATGATGCCAATTGTGCACCATATATGCCAAAACCATTACTATCGCATATTTTACATTTCGCACATACTCACATACAACTCACTATTTTACATTACACACTAACCGCCTAGTTTTACTTAAACAACATTTATAGATCCAAAATTTAAAAAAAGTCGGCTATGCCAATGTCGCGCATTTTCGATAATGACCCTTGAGGAGCGTTATGGACAACACAAGTCCATAAATAATGCGTTAATATTCCTCGCCTAGTTGCACAGAATTCTGCAAGATGCGGCAGATAAGATCGTGGTTTGTAGTACTTAATGAAACAATGTTTTTTTCAACATAGGCTTTCTCAAGTGAAAAACACTTTTCACATCCCGTATACCATGCCTTGATACCACTGAAAAAAATATTATTTAGATTTCTCTGCAAAATGCTGCTTTCACCTCACTGTCATCTGAAAATCTTCACTCCGGAATGCCTTTTTTAAATTTGAGATAGGGAGCCAATTCGGGATTGTAGGTTGGATGTCAATTTCTATACGTCGAATAGCTTTTAAGGCTTCCCTCGCAACCCAGAGGGTATGAACGGTTGCGTTGTCTTGAAGAAGTAGCAATTCGCGCGTTACGACTGCCTCACGAATTTAGCGGATGCTGCCTGTTCATTGTAGTTCCATTTAACTTATAGTAAATTAATAATATACCCTCGCTAACCCAGAAAATTGTAGCCATAATCTTCGGCGCCGACATTTCCACTTTGAATTTTTCAGTGGCCACTGCATCGGATTCTAATTGGACTCGGAATCATACTGACGAATATAGGTTTCTTCATCTGTTACATTCCGCTTGAAAATGTCATCCAAATTTTATTTATAGAGTTTGAGTGACCGTAGTTTTAAGTCCAAGCATTTCCGACCTCGTAATTTACTAAACCGACAAAGTGATAGTAGTCTGGTGCCCAGACCTCTCCACTTACCTCCCTGCTTTCGAGGTGGAAATCTCGTGAGCATACAGTTTTGAGGGAAGTTGCAGTAACGCCAACAGTGGTCATAAAGATGGCGGCGTGAAATCGCTACAAACTAACATGCGCCCTTATAGATACCTACATTCCAACTAAGACTGGCGTATATGCGTATCGGTAATCAGGCAGGTTGCATGCTATCCATTTGTCGCAAACACGGGACCACAATTTTCATCCTGTCTACCCAGCTCCAATTTGAACCAAGGAATTGCCAACGCGTATGTCAACAATCGATGACGCAGATGTGTACGCTGAGATCGTTCTGCCAGGTACTTTGCCGACGTCTTTTATTCAGATATCGCCCAAAGTACAGGTCTTGGATAGTCTCTTTCCAGAATATAAAGGCATTAATATCAATCCACTATTTTCTTCTTAAATACCTTTATATTAAGCACATAGATGTATATGTTATACAAATTTATATTTATAATGAAAAAATATATTAATTAAGTACAAATGAAACCCGTACGTTTAATTAACCACTTTCACAGGTTAGTTAGGTTGCGGAAACGGACGGATGAAGGATGCGTTCACTGCCAGACCGATAAAAAAAATATATATAATAAAACTATTTTCATACCCTGATCTGAGCGTGGTGGCTTGAAGCTTGTTTTAAAAATTTTTGCACACATCAATAGGCCGGGCATTTTCAGGGCTGCGACCTAAAGTATATAAAAAATATATTAGAGTTGATCGACGCAAGAGACTGACAGCTAACTCAAAGTAGTTAGCAATTCATTTAGTTTTTAACCGAAACGAAAAGCTGATGTTATTGTTAAATCGGTTGTAGCTAATGTTAAACGTTAAAATGGCAGGCAATCATTTTAAAATAAACGATAACAACGAGTTTGTGCGGCTTCAACATTTACAATTTCTTTTCATATTGGACCTTTTTATTTGCCTCATCAGATTCGTTTTTGGAATCTTTGAATTTAACCAAAAAAATATTTAAACCTAGTATACGAGTATCCTAAAACTTTTTTTTAACAACATTTTATCAATTTATAAATGATATTTTTTACTTTTGTATTCATTATATAAGAAGTATTAATAAGTAATAAAAAATAACCAAATAAATACATATAAATAACATTGTCTCTTTCGTAAGGAAGATGAATTTTCGCCAAAACCCAAAACATAAAAAATGCAAATAGTATACACGCGCTACCAACTGTGCCATAGCAACTTTTCAAAAATGTAGTTACGAGTATATCGACTTCGCTGATTTGAACAGTGCGCACGCGTCTAGGCGAACAATGCGAACGTGATTTTACGTGGTATTACGTGGTGTTAGAGCATTCCGCCCCAATGGACTTTGAAGCTGTTCACTGCTGCTTCGAAGGCTCCAGCCATGTGAGGTGCCTATGGTCGAATAAACTGCTTTGATAGATTATGGATAGGTCACGGATATTTCTGTGACGAATACTATTAAATACTTCTTGCGACTCCGCCTTGCTTGAATAAATGTACGTCCATTGTACGACATAACTTTGTGTGGTATAACGCGCCAGCCAATAAAACATGTATGGGAGCCTTTGGACGCTTCAATACTTAAACCTGAGCAAAGTTCAAGATAGCCATCACAAAGCATACGAAAACACAGACTCTACGATAGATTCTATTCAGCACGTTGGCGTTTTCATAAGAAAGGGTCCGACAAAGTCGACGTCCGTAGTTTGATTAATTTGTTTTATTTTGTGCTTTGAACGGCTGATATAGTATTCTTTGTCTAAGAGCAGGATGAGGGTTAAAAAAGAGTCGGCGAATTTTCAGCCAGAATTCGGTTGGTTTTAGGTAACCATTTAAGACCAGTTCACCACCGTAAATCAGCTGTGTTTCTTGTGGTGATTTCGGATTTTTGTTCGACACACATGGTTGCTATTTCCGGGCGCGGGTTTCTCTAGTCAGGTCAGTACGAAGGAGGAATCACTCTTCAAAGTTAGTTCCTCGGTGCATTATTTATTTATGTATATAGTTTATGTGAATTAAAGGTGAAGTTTCCCCCAGTTTTACCACATTTTGCAGCCAATGGGTAGATATTACTAATGGCTTGGGAACATTTAGAGAACATTAATTATTGAATTGCAACGCATATTTTCGCATTATCGAGGTTGAGTTTGTGCCGAGTGGATACAGAAATTTCTTCCACGTGAATAAAGCACGATATGTTCGTGTGTTTGCACCTGCTTAAAAAGTATGAATGCAGGTAAGTAATACTATTTTATAAATTTAGAAAATTAAATATTTTAAAATAAATGTTTTTATGAATTTATATACATATGCTTGCATGAATGTGTATAAATAGTTCTGTTCTATTTTTATTGAAAAATACTGCACCGGAGCTCGCAAATTTGGTGCTTAGCTTAAAGAAAAAGTTGCAAAACAGCTAAACTGTGATCATACTTTCCCAAAACGAAAATTGATTTAAAATGAAAATGATATGAATGCTCTCATATGAATGATACGATAACAAAATAAGCAACCAAATCTAATTTTGTTTTGATTGAAAAATTCGAAGTTATGAGTATTGAAAGATTAATCTAAAAAATACTCGTAAAGCCCGTGCTCCGAATTAAAAAATGAGTTATTTAGTTATTTACCACACTTGTAACTATTTTTGTTAAAAGGCCAAAGCAAAGGAATACATTAACATAGAGAAATTGCACCCGATTTCTTTGTTCAAAGCAGGGATTCACTTGCCCATCTCTCCCTTTCTCGGTGGGGTGAATTCATTTCCATTCTTCTCGTTATTCTAACCTTAGATACAACAGAAAAGATATCCTTCCTTCCCAAATAAAACTCGTTTCGTGAAAATCTCATTTTTAACACCGAAGTAAACACACCGTGTTGGGTACAATAGTCTCAAGATTCCAAGCAAAGTTGCTCCTACTAAAACTTTCTCACTCCCGAGACTGGAACTCTGGGGTGTAGTACTCTTAATAAAGTTTGTAAAGTAGATCTAAGTTCAATTAGATTAGCCACCTTTTTAACCCTCATCCTACTCTTAGACAAAGAATACTATATCAGCCGTTCAAAGCACAAAATAAAACAAATTTATCAAACTACGGACGTCGACTTTGTCGAACCCTTTCTTATGAAAACGCCAACGTGCTGAATAGAATCTCTCGTAGAGTCTGTGTTTTCGTATGCTTTGTGATGGCTATCTTGAACTTTGCTCAGATTTAAGTATTGAAGCGTCCAAAGCCTCCCATACATGTTTTATTGGCTGGCGCGTTATACCACACAAAGTTATGTCGTACAATGGACGTACGTTTATTCAAGCAAGGCGGAGTCGCAAGAAGTATTTAATAGTATTCGTCACAGAAATATCCGTGACCTATCCATAATCTATCAAAGCAGTTTATTCCACCATAGGCACCTCACATGGCTGGAGCCTTCGAAGCAGCAGTGAAGAGCTTCAAAGTCTATTGTGGCGGAATGCTCTAATACCACGTAATTTCCTGCGCAGTCGCTACATACCCTTGGTTCTAGACGCGAACTCTGAAAACTTGTCCTTGACAAATAATGTTCAGTAGGCAGACTGAATACTTACCAGAATTACATAAGCGCTCCAACCTACAACAAGGAGACCTCGTCATCAAAGAAGATCTCCTACTTCCAAACGAGTAGAATTTGCCGCAAATCGTAGGACTCCATCTGATCAAAATGTCTGCGTACTAGAAATTTGCAATCAAAGCGGGATAGTCATTCACAGCATAACTAAACTCCCGCATAGCATATTCTATCCTCACTAGTTTTCTCGTTTCTTCCAAATGTACACTTATAATGCATTCCGATCATATCTTTAAAGCGTACATGAACTTCGTCTGTATCGGCTATGTTACGTTCGTTCTACTGCGCTTTTGAGGAGCATACCTTGGGATAAACAGATGCAAGGATACTGCATCAGGATAAACATACTCAGGTAAGAAATCGTTCAGTTTTATATCGCGCTTATGGAGCTAGTGCGGCAGCAAAAGATCATAAAGCTTGACGAATGTTTCAGGCGTTATTCTGAAGCTTTGTATAAAAAATTTTTATCCTTTCTTTTTGATTTCCCATAAAAATATTTAAAATTTTTTAATGAATGAAGTTATTTAGATCTATTTTAAGCTCTTTGACATTTTGAAAGCATGTTTTTGCTGTTGCCTTATTCTGTATTAGTCACGTGTAAAGACTTTATCCGCTTGGAATTTGAAAAAATATTCAATAGGTTTTTCACGTTATTTATTTCATTATGGCATACATAATGGATAAAGTAAAGAGTCAAATATTAAATTAAAGGTTTTATTAGCCATAGTTAGAATTATCCGATTTATATCAAATGTACTCAAAACTTTTTGCATTTTGAAGGTAACGTCTTTATGGTTTTTCTTTAAAAACTATTGTCCCTACTGACAAAAAAAAATTTGGACAATCGATTTAAAGAAGCTTTCCTTGAGGCCGATTTTTCACCAGCCAAATCAGTCACCATAGATAAGAACAGATGGTAATCACTTCTTATCGATAATTTTGCCAAAACTATTCACATTTTCAGCTGCCTGGCTTGCGTTTTCGCCTTAATCGGAGTTAAATCGAATTTTCTCTATAATGGTGTCCATTTTTGACACCATGGTCAATATTTCTGCAATCTAGCGTAATCCATTGTCACTTAAAAATCGTGGGATACCGATCACTAAAGCCATCTATTTCAATAATAATGGATGACCTAATCTTTATAAATTGCGTTACGTTTCGTTGTTTCAAAAATACAGGGGATATTTTGACATCTATCAAACCAATCATGGTTAGTTTCCATCATTGTTTTTGCGGCCTGTAATATTAATTTTTTTATTAGTTTTTAGTGAGCTAAGGTTTATTTGTTAGAACGAATTGAATATTTTATACAATAAAGAAAAATGATATGTGTTTTTTTTTTTGCTTTAGTTTAACAATAGTACAACGTTTTACAACTACTCAAGTAAATGATACATTTTAAATAAATATGAAGAGACTGGATCGGTTACAGATATTGTAAAGCCTGTGTTTTTGTGGGAGAAGTAACTTTCTCTCAAGTGTCTTCCTGCTACCTTAAAAGTTAGTCCTTGAGATTTATTATGGTTATTGCGAATCATGCTTTAATGGGGAACTGTACAATAGATTCTATTGTATTTGAAAACAACCTGTTAGTAAGATAAGTAAGAAGTTTCAAAAAAAATTTTAATTTCTAAGCCAAACCACTAACAATTTTGGTATCTCTATTAAAAAAAAAACTATATACAAATGATTTTTTGACATGCTCTTTGCTTTTGCACTATACTCGTATTTTTCACTTGTGTGAAAGAATCATATATAATAAGTTGTTTTTGATAATTTGTTACGAAAATTTATATGAAAAGTTTTTTATATCCATTCAATGAACAGTTTATTTTTATACTTCTACATAATTAAAATTTAATAACTTGTTTTCATTTCTCGGGTTTTGATTTTGACCTAATCAAAGGTTCACCAGTATTCATTCAAACATGCGAATTTGGAGCAAATCTAATTATAACTACATTGGTCCAATTTCCAGGAATAAATGCCTTCCCAATGGTAATTTGAGCAAAAAGTTGTCAATGTACAGATGCGATTTATTCATTAGATCTTTCCAGGCACACTTTCTGAGAGAAAAAATGTCAAATAGTATTTTACCAAATGTAAATCAAACTGTAAATAAATATTTTTCGAATCGACTACTCTCAGGCCCGCTTCCCGGAAAAAGGTTTTCTCCATATCCATTTAGATGAAGTGCTGGCTCTGAAATAAATTCAAACAAAACGATTTAAAAATAAATCCGATTTTTTCCAATAGATCGGCACCAAGACTATAATAGCCATATTTTGATGATTTTTGATATTTTAGTCAACCATCATCGTTAATTTATAATGTCTTGAAGAAAACTGAGATATTTTTTTTTAATGTGAACACCATATTTTTCAATACAACTCTTAATCTTCAAGGATTTATTAATGTCTGAGAAATTGTATTGAAGTGAACGTGCGTAATAATAGAATACGAAACATCAGCTGCACAATGATCAACAACTGGCAGCCAGTAAACATACAATTCTATAATTGGGTACGAATATGTTTACATATATGTACATATGTAATATACTGAGCTGTTACTATTTTTGAGAAAGCAAATGAATAAATTCAATTAGGGTTCGCTAAATTCGGTGGTAATAATCAGTTTTCTATGTTTCCCCGTTTCATCTATATTATATATTTATTTTTTATAATTGTTTACTATGTTTTTTTAGGAACTCTTAAATCGTCAAATTCGCATACATACATATGTATCATAAAAGAAATTGAAAAACTCGCCTTCCCAAAAATTTGTTTTCAATGTTACTTCATTGACCTTAGCATGTTCAAACTGCCTTGATGGGCATGAGTTGGGATTTTATTTTTTCAACTGGTATAGTGTTGATGATGGATTTGCTACCTCTACTGCTATTTATTTAAGCGCGGACCACATGTAGACTTCCGTATCTAATTGAACAATATAGCACCAAAACTGAGTAATCACAATGGAGTAGAAGAATTGTTCAATAAAGCGGAAACTTGTAACAACAAATATTTGTATCGACCTAAAGACAAGAACGTGATGCATGAAGCAAATTAGTGCTGATGCGGAGGTGATGATTTCATGATGAGCTTGCAATAAATAAAATGCCGAATTATTAAAATGCTAGAAAATTTTGTAAATTTACCATGAAATATGATTGAAGAAAGAAGAAAATGACAATGGGAGCTTACAAATCATTATTTTTGATGATGAGACTAGCCAATTGAAAATAATGTATTTGATTTATCACCCTATATACATATATGTAAATAAATAAAATGTGAATGTATTATATTACATGTTCCCTATGTTCCAACTACTAATAACTATGACGCGATTATTTTACTTCTCTATTTATGTTTTAACGTCTAAAAAGCAAGAGGCGTCTAACTAATTAAAAATGCATTGAAAGATAATAAAAGCTACAAACTTGGTTTTTCCTTAATTGTATAATATCAACTTCATTTGAAAGCATTCGGCTTAAGACTCTCGGCTCTTCAAATAGAAATTACTGAATTTTCAAGTTTCCATAATCTGTGCATGAACTACTTATATATGTGATACAAGTAGAGGTACTTTTTCAACAGAGTCGTGTCAAGCTGTGATGAAAGACTTACGCCTGACCAATGTTTACAAATCGTTCCACCATATTTCAAAAATTCACGTTCTGTAAAGAATGTAGCTTGCGCGCTTCATTTAACTATTTATATATATATATATAATTGGCGCTATGTAACCGCTGAAGCGATTTTCGGACGAACTCCTCCTCCAATTTGTGGTTTTGCGTCTTGATGTTTTTTCAGCAATTGGAGGGACCTACAGTTTATACTAAGCCGCTTACGAGGAGGAGCTTTATTTCATGTTAGAAATACATCCGGAGGGCTTGACATTCCCTGCCGTTCATTCAACTTACGGTCAACATAATCGGTCTACTGAACGTACTACTATCAACACCATCATCCATCTTGAGACCCAGCATTCGTTATTGGTAATTGGATTATCACCTCTGAGGACAAAATATGTCTAAACAAATTATTGTACTGTGAAAAGAATTGATATAATCATGACACAATAATTTAAAGATTTTTTCAATCTTCTTTGTAGTCGGCTTCATAGCTACCTAACTTTAAACGTTTTCGTCTTTTTCGTGCTACATTCTTCCCTTATGAAAATCTCCTTCTTTTAAATAAAAAATGTGTGATATTATATATTATATTTTTTAAATGATTAAACCTTCAAAAAATTATATTTTCCAACCCCTGACAGCGGACTTCATCGAGTGTATGCCTTTGATCCAATAAATTGTAAGAAAGTATCAGAAGGGCTAGAAATTTCCCTACCAAAATGTAAATCGAATTCAAAAAGATGAATTTGCCATGTCAACGTTTGAATCAAAATCAGTCTCATAGTTTTAGAGATGTTTCAAGGAAATTTGGTAAGCAGACAGAAGGTTGTTTTAATAACTGTCATTTTTGGTGATGATACCTGTAGAGGCTCTGTGATGCTCAAACCACTGGGTGTGTTTAACGAAGTTCAAGAGATAAATAATGCCTAGAGATGCAAGCAGTCGAAGAAGAAATTTTCGAGACATCTATAATAGAAACCAATTGAAAAACAGTCCAGCCTTCTGCTACAAGCCTCCACAACACAGTGTACGGTTAATATGTTGGTTGTTATACTTAAGCAGGTCCTATTTAGAAGAAGTAAAGATTTAGCTCTGTTCACTTCGATCAATTACAATTGTTTCACTCTGTCATCTGCTGTTGACCCTTCTGGTAAAATCTAGTGCAGAGTTTAACGGGGTTATAACAGTTCCGTATTCGGTCAGTTCTCTGAGTGTCACTATGACAGACTTAAAAGCTTAAGCTTCGAAAATAAAATCAATCATGCAGAATTTCAAGCTCTCTACGTACAGTTGCAAACGAAACTCTTGGATTTCAGAAAGGTTTTAAAAACAGCTGGCACGATGGGGACTGCCGTGTCTCAGTGGAGAGAAAACAGACCTCGCAACGTTGCGATCGACCACAACCCGACGCATCTACAGACAAAAAAATAAAAAGGCCGAGATGTGTGAGTATGAAGAGCTTCAGAAGCTGATCGGCAAAGGTAATGCTGGAAAATTGTATGTAAATGCGCGATGTCTTACAGAAGGTTTCAAGACCGGAGCAGACTCTTGCAGAGCCCATGGACTTGATCTAGTGACGGATGTTCATAGTATACCAAATATATGGAGGGAACACTTCTCTAGCCTGCTGAATGGCAGTGAAAATAAAACATCCGGTTAAGTGAACCCGAAACAGCAATCAATGACAATGGAGCTTTCGACAGTCCGAACCGGACTTGCCTCTACGCCACTATGTCGGAATTTGCTATACCCGCAAAATTTATACGACTGTGTATACTGACATTAAGCAACACTAAAATATTCTTCAGGATTAGGAAGTCATCCTTTTTCATAACTTTGAAGTCTTAGATAATTTCGTCTATCTTGAAACCAGTATTAACACCAACAACAATGTGAGCTCGGAAATCCAACGCAGAATCACTCCTGAGAATAGGTTCTTCTTTGGACGGAGTATGAAATTGAAAAATAAATTCCTCTCTCGACGAACGAAAAACTCTACAAGTCGCTAATCGTTCCCGTCCTGCTATATGGCTCGGAGGCATGGACGATGACAACATCTGACGAGTCGGCATTAGGAGTTTCCGAGAGTGGTTGCGCGTAAAATTTACGGTTCTCTACAAGTTGGGAACGGTGAATACCGCAGCAAATGGAATGATTAGCTGTATGAGATATGCGATATTGACATAGTTTAGTGAGTCAAGAAACAACGGCTGCGCTGGCTAGGTCATGTGTTCCGGATATATTATATATGAATACTTCAGTTTTAAAAGTTTTCGATGCAGGACCCTCCGGAGGAAGGAGAAGAAAAGAAAGACCTGTACCCCGTTGGAAGGGCCAGGTAGAGAAGGACTGGGCTGTACTTGGTGTCCCAATTGACGCCAAATTGCTAAAAAAGGCGCAATTTTGTAAATTTAGATATAATCGTAACAAATTTGGATGCCAATAAAACATGTAATAATACATCATTTTCTACTATTTTAGATACATACTCAGTGCCTTTTTTAAAAGATCATATATCTGGGCTAGAAAAAATTTTGTGGTTAATTCGATACACCAGACAAAATTTGGCAAAGCAATTCTCTCAAATTTTATTAAAACATATATATTTTGTGGTGGAACAGTAATACGTAGTCGAATTGAAAATATTTTAAAATAAAGGCAATAATAAACACTGAAGAAAATAAAAAATATGAGATAATAGAAAAATTATAATTTAGTTTCAAATTTCGATATAAAAGAAGGAAAGAAATATGTAAATAAAAAAAGCGATTTTTTTATTGTCGTGCATTTATTAATGAATTTGTTAAAATCAAGTAATCCTAAGTATGTGTAAAAATCTTAACGCTGAATTAAAATCTAGTTACCTAGAGTTAACTCTAAGTCCTTTTCCCAGAAGGTGGGATCATTACTTCAATGGAGTCGGGAATTTCTGTATGAGTTGCACAAAACGTTAGATAACGAGTTCTGATGGTTTATCAGCTTTGTTCTGGACATATAAAAATGGTAAGAAGTCTTAACTATTGTACTTGAATAAATATGTAGCAACCGTTCTATAAGTTCGCGTATACACCTAGTAAGGATTATTAAATTTTTGCATCCGCCCTATGCATACTAATCCTTGACAATAATTTTAAACAACCCTGCTTAAATTACTCATCGTTTGTCCTGTTCAAGATTTATGAATTTAATTTACAATTTTGAACTTAAACTAGATCTTATTTCGTTGACTTGGCTTAAAATATCTGTATGAATAAATAACGATTTAAAGTGGAGAATCGATAACGGTCTGAAAGGGCAAATTCTAGATCCGTTCGTAAAGAACGAACAAGCTAGTTGTCGTTTCGTTACCTAGGGTATTGACGACGAATTCATCCTGGATTAGCAACGAACCCAAGGCATCTTTTCGTAAACTGTCGAGGATAACTTGAGCATAAAATTCTCTTGACCAATATCGAAATTCGGAAGACGACGGAGAATATTTACATAAGCAGTTCCTAGTAAGATTTAATTTTTCGTATAACACAACTGAAAGTGACTCGTACCCTCCACACGTAGTTTGGTATCGGAGCAAATCGGATTATTAGCTCATAAATTTTTGTCTGACGGCGCTTGCTGTCTAGAATGCCAAATCGAAAAATTAAAAGTGCTTGTACATCGGCGACCCTATATCCGGCAGTCAGATAGTTTCGGTAAGATTTATATTTCCAAACGGCACTGCATCTCTCAGAGGAAGACATAATTATTGGTCAAAATCGAATATAATGAGCAAGGATACTAATTAAGTGGATTGTATATTTGACTTGAAAACGTTAATAACAATAACTGGTCCAGGCGCAATGAAAATATAGAAACGTAAATATACGCATCATCAAAGAAATTACACAAAACCCTGTGGCTAACACCTTAGCTGGCCAATCTTAAAATCTAATTAAGCACTATCCTTTAAATCGTTATGTAATTCTATATTCGCTTGCACCAATTAGTGGAATGGCGCCATTATCTAATTTTACCTTTGAAATTTCGCACACCTTTGAAAACATTCGGAACATTTAAAATGAAAGCCCCTGAAAGTGAAAGTGTACGTTATTTTAGCAGTACTACAATAATTTCCTGTACATGGGATTGAGTTGCAATAAAAAGAAGAATGAACTAGAAAGAAGACTTGGAAAAACTTTTTCGTATACATGTGAAATAGACTAGTGCAACTGTATGTATAAAATTATATTTAAAATAGTTAGAAGTTTTTTTTATAATCTATTAATTAAACATATATTTGTCAATTAACATAATTAAATATAAATTGAGAAGAATTTTTGCTCGCGAAACAACGTTGTTCAAATATAATGTAATTCGGAAATAGTTTTATATAGTTTCATTTCAATTTCATTCGTAAAGAACAAATTTTTAGAACAAACTACATTCATCACAACAGTTTTGATAACTTTGTAAGTACATATGTACATATGAACGATAATCTTTGCATTTGCCAAAGTGTTTGTAGTGCGATTCATTTTAAATTGCAATGTCCAATTTTTAAGAAATTTAAATAATTTTAAAAGTGAAAATAATTTGGAACTATTTGACAATTGCCGAAAAGAAAATGTTTAAATAGAAAGAAAAATATTAAAAAAATATGTACTAACAACAACCACCTCGTACACATACTCGTATATATGTGTGCCATAAAACGAGCGAAATAGTATATTTATACGATTTCGTTAAGTATATTTTTAATTAATACAGAGTCGACCCAAATAGAAGTTTTGAAAAAAACTCTCAGAAGGAATATTCAGCACTTTCAGCTTAAAGTGCGTTTTTCTCGAAATTTCTGTAGCCGCCGTGGTAGTCTGACAGACACCGCAAAATCAAACTTTGTTTGCCTTGTTACGTCATTTAGACGGATGATAATAATCGCTCCATAGAAGAACAATTGATATCGTTGAGAAGTCTTACGAAGGTAAAATTGGATTTGTATGGAGTGCCCAAGAAGGCCAATGAACATCCAGAGTTCTAGATAGAAACATTATTAAAACACGCTTTTCAAGTTTCAATGAACTTAGAGCAATTTTTTTATCGATCGATAAAATTTGATTGTACATACGAATCAAAAAGTAGGTATGTATGTTTAGCAGTAAATTCAAAACAAAAGTAAGATGGAGCTTTTGCATACGATCGACGGTCAAATAATATAATATTTACGAGTGATGGCACTATTTCGCTGTGTTATGTCTGAGGCTTAAGATCTCAATACTCACCAGGTCCCTATATGTGCATTGATTAAATGTTGGTGCCATTCGAGGTGGATGCAAATTTTTAATTTACATGCCACACAACACTGAGAAGTTTTTTTACATATGCAATGCTTACATATATCACGAAAAAATTCTGATGAAATAGGATTAAAAGAAGAAGCGAAGAAAAAATCACTGCCATCGCAATCAGTTTTACGACTGGTGAAAGTACGAAAGTTCAAACTGTAAAATAGCAGCTGAAAGTTTGGCTTACCAGAAATTTGACTTACCTAGAGACACTGAAGAAGATTAAAATAGAGATTCCTCCATATTTCTTACTAACCAAGGAAAGAG